TGTGACTGGGACTGGTGCTCTCCCCACCCACCCACCCAAGACCACAGGTATTGGGGGCACAGGGAGGAGAGGAGAGTTTTTCAAATGAAACAAGGAAGGGGAACTCATCCTGGATGTAACAGACCTTAACCATGCCTTCTAGTGCATCTGTCCTCCCTCCCCACAAAGGCTCCACATCCACCTCTTGACCTAGCCTGGTTCAGCCTTCGAGAATCACGTCGGGACCCCAGAGTGAGGCATGTATGGAGAGGGGCTATCAGGCGGCAGTGGGAAGGAAAGGGCGTCTGACTTTTCCTTCCTGCCTCCTCCTGGCCCTCTTAGATCAAAGGTCCGGGCTTCAGGGAAGTGTCATGGAGAATCTGGACTCAGAACCTCTCTACTCAAGGGGGTTTGGATAACTTACCAAGGGGGAGAGTGGAATTGGCATCGTGGCATCACATGGAGGAGAAAGGAAGCTCCCTAAGGGTGGGGTTTATATATATTCACAGCTCAGCCTTCCCCAGAGCTGGGTTCAATACGCTAAATAAATAAATAAATAAATAAATAAATAAATAAATAAATAAATAAATCCTGCACTTCTCTCAGAGACCACAAGAGGGTGCACAGAGCCCAGCGTCCCTATTAACTGGGCCTAACAGACAGGACCTGCAAGACATCTGGGGAGCTCAGAGAGCCGTGGGCAGGAGAGGGTAGGATGAAAGGAAACAAGGAGACCCATGGACAGCTTGGGTCAAGCTGCTAGGGTTCCAGACTGTCTGGGACCTCTGGGGCTGACCCGGACCTAGGGCTGGGACGCTTGCCTCCCGGTCTCTATTGCCAGGTCCTGGTGAGTGGGGTAGAGTGGGTGATGCTGGACTCCTCCATGATGCCACAGAAGGAAACTGAGGCAGTGGCATGAACTGACACCACCCCAGTCAGGTTAAAAGGAATTCAGAGGAAGTAGCATGATACAGTGAAAAAAAAGGCTTACTTTGCTAGCTGGACCTTGATCACGTCAGTTAATCTCTCTGAGCCTCAGTTTCCCATCAAAAATGGCGGTGCCTGGTAGCTTTTTATTTTTTTTTATTTTTTAAAGATTTTATTTATTTATTTGACAGGGAGAGACATAGTGAGGGCAGGAACACAAGCAGGAGGAGTGGGAGAGGGAGAAGCAGGCTTCCCGCGGAGCAGAGAGCCCAATGTGGGACTCGATCCCAGGACCCTGGGATCATGACCTGAGCTAAAGGCAGATGCTTAATGACTGAACCACCCAGGCGCCCCTGATAGCTTTTTAGGACATCGTAAGAGGGCGTTGCGATCTTCAAACTGCTAGTTGTATGCTAGTGGTCCATCTTCTGTGACCAAGCTCAGCAGAAGTCTGGGAAATGCCCTCTGTGAAGGGTCAGAGCCTTGTCCTGAGAGGCACCATTTTGACCATTATCTTGGTCATCTCTAAGCTCAGAGATAGCTCTACGCTCTTGCACCATTGCCTTGGGAGAAGGCTAGGCCCAGAGCTCAGAAATGCCCCCTTACCACCACCCCCTTGCTCACCCAGCAGCTCAGCCCAGGGCACAGTCTGAGCCATGAAGGTTCTCTGCTGACTGAGTGGTGGGGGACATGTGGTACCGGGGAGTTGGGGGAAGAGCACAGAGGCGCCCCAGATGTGTGCATGACCACATCAGGAACAGCCAGAATGCAGGCAGATGGTGGGGAAGCTACTGGAAAGCCCATGATCAGCCTGAGGCCAAGGGCTCATTTCCCCCTCCTTCCAATGACCCACAAGGAGTTTGGGTGACTAAAGCAGCAAGTTAATCCCCTTACCTTACAGAGGGGCTCTGGTCCCTGAGGCCTGAGGATAAGACAAAGAGCTCCCTTTTTGGTCTGGGGCTCCTTCCCTCTCCTCTTCAGCGAGATAGACTTCTCTTGCAGAACCTCGGGACTGAGCCTGGCCTGGTCTGGGTTGGGGCCGTGAGGGTCCCACCTGTTCTCACCCTGGTGCCTCCCCTCGCCCTCCCTTCCCTGCAACCTCCTCCAGAGTTGCCACAGCTGGAACCATTCTCTGCGCTGCCTTTCATCCTTGGTGCTCCCCCCACCCCCAGTGGCCCCTATAATTGTGGTCTCAGCTGGTGGCTGCGGGGGCTGGGGCTGGGCTGAGGGCCAGGGCCCAGGGCAGGGCCAGGGTGGGGTCTGGGGGCTGCTGATAGGGGCTTGCCCATGGCAGGGGTCATTTGGGACTGGGGTGCCAGTTGCAGACACTCTTTCTGGGCCTCCTCTCCCCACATGTCAAGCTCCTGTGCCTACATATGCCCTCTCCTCCCTGCACTGAGAAGTGCCCCAGGCTTGGGCACTTTTAGACCCTCATGACATCAGGCCAGAACTATGTCCCAGTGCAAACAAGACTTGAAAATCATTATTTGCCTCCTGGGGTTTTCAAAGAAAGGGACTTCTCCTTCTCTTTTACACCTCTATATTTCATGAGCAGTAGAGTGGGGGGGTGGGGATGAAGAAACCTTCCCTCGGCGGGTCAAAGGAAAAAAAAATTGACCTCTCAAGCAGCTCAGCAGATGTGGTCCTCATGAAAATCACTTGAGATACCAACTAGAAATGCAGACCCCTAGGCTTTGCCCCTGGACGGGCTGATTCAGCTGCATGGGACCCAGAATCGGTATTCCCCACAATGGACTACCCCAGGGAATACATATGATGCCTCAAGCATGGAAAGGCTAGTGTGAGCTCTACCCAGGGAGTAAGGAAGTCATGAACGAATTCCCTGTCCCACCTTGGGCCTCTTCCTAATCCCTTCTGTGCCTCAGTTTCCCCAACAGCCAATGGGCACCTGACTCCCCAGCCTGGCTTGTCCCTGTGGTGGTGCCCTCTCTCAGCCCAGGCTCATTGCCTCCTTCCCGTGCTAAGTCTGGTCCTGCCCTAGCCTTCACCATACTCTTCCCGAACTCTAATCCCAAGCTGTCCTTGCCCTTGCAGCATGGCAAAGGAGAGTGGGGAGGGCAGGGGGCAGCCAGGGTCAAACAAGGCTCTGGCTGACGCAGACTGCTTCCTGCCCCCGGCTGTTTTCCTGCTGTCCAGCCAGACTGCTCCCCCCATTGCCCCACCCCCACCCCCAGCAGCCTCAAGCCCTTAATTCCTGACAGCTGCAGTGGCTGCCGGCAGAGATGGGGGAAAGGAGGGGGGGAGGATGCCGTCAGCCTGCTGTTGCTCAGGCTGCCCCCACCACCTGACAGTCTGGGGACAGGGAAGGCCCCACCCCTCTCCAATTCCCCAGGGATGGGCAATTCCAGGAATGGGCCCCTTTTGTCTCAGAGCCCAGAGTTTGTCCTTAAACCAGGAGAGGACACTGAGGTTGGGAAGGAGGTGTGTGTATAGAGTGGAAGACTTGCGCCCATTTTACAGAGTAGGATGCTAAGGCCACAGTGGGGGCAGGATTCACTATTAGGGCCCAGGTTGGAACCAGAAACAGAGCCTCTCTCCCCAGCCCTCTGGTTTCTCAGGCCCTTGCCCGGGTCTAGTACACTAACCCCATACTGAGATGAGCTCAGTGTTCAGCGGGACGGGAGGACAAGAGGAAAATCCCGGAGAGGAGTGGGCCTGAGCTCGGAGCCTGGTTTGGGGTGGCTCCCAGGGGACCAAGTACAGGTAGCAGGACAAGGGCAAGATCTGGAGCATCTGCAGGAAGGCCCAGGCAAGTAACTCTCAGTGTGGGGGCCATTGCTACTATGCTCAGGGTCAAGAGAACTGGGCTCAGTTCTAGCTCTTGGACTAATTTGCTGTGTGACCTTGAGTAAGTCATGGCCCTCTCTGAGCCTCATTATTTTCTTGTGAAATAAAAAGGGACAAAATAAGATGACCCCCAAAGCATACTTTTGGAATTAAAGGACTCACTAATCCCTCTCCCAGGGTGTGTCACCCCAAGGAGCTCTGCTCCCAAACAAGCATTTACTGGAGTCCCAGCGTTTTTACCTTCATTGGCTCACTGACTAGATGAGGTGGGCCTCAGTAACCTCATTTCACAAAGGGGCAGAGGGTGGTTCAGTGTGCACGAGGCACCTGTTTAGGGTCACACCGGGAAGAAGAGCAAAATCCAGAGGCTGCCAAACCCCTTTACAGGACCCCCCAACACCTGCCACACCAGCCAAGCCTGGGAAGTCCCTCCTGAGGTGGGAGAGGCAAGCAGGGGAGGGGGACAGCCCCTCCCCTCCAGCCCCTGCAGGTGTGTGTATTGGGGAGGACTGCTCCCCGGCAGCTGTGTCCCGGCCAGACACACACACTTCCCAGTAACACACAGCTTCTTACACAAACCAGCGCGCCCTGGCACTGGCACCTCCACGTGCACGCGCGTACAGACCCCCCAACACCTCTCCTTCCCCCGCCCTCCCACCGCCGCTCCCACCCGGAGTCCTGAGCGGACGCAGTGGCCTCAGGACCCATACACGCCTCCACCCCCCCGTCGTGACGTCACCTGGGGTAGAGCCCTGAGACACTCGGGCGGGGGCTGGGGGGAGGAAAGGGGAGGCGGCAGAGCTCCCCGAGCCGGGACAGTCACTCACTCTCTGGGCGGGGGGGGGCCGGGCACCGGGCGCCCCCCCCCCCCCCCCACCCCCCCCCCGCCCGCCTCGCACGCCCTCGGAAGTGCAGGCTCGCGGCGCTGCTCTGGGGGGCTCCCCGGCACCCCAGCCTCTCGCCCCCAGCCCGCAGCACCTCCGGGCCCCCCCCACCCTCGAGAGGTACCAGGAGTTGTCGCAGGGGGGCCTCGGGAAATTCCCTGGACCCCTGTGCCAGGAGGTGCCCGGTGCGCCCGCCCGCCCCCCCACCCCGAGGGCGGTGCCCGGGGGCGCTGCCCCATGGAGCGGGGAGGCGGGCGCCGTCTGCTCCCGGAGCCGTGACCCGAGTTGGAGCTGTGTGTCGCAGCCGCCCCGACCCCCGCGGATCATGCGCCGTCGCCCCTGGCCCGCCGGTCCCGCCGGGCTGTGAGCCCCCCACTGCTGGCCCGTGACGGCCCGCGCGCCATGGGCAGCACCCACCCTTGCCCCTGGCTGCGGCTCCGACCTCGGCCCCAGCCGCGGCCCGCGCTCTGCGCGCTCCTGTTCTTCCTACTGCTGCTGGCTGCCGCCGTGCCCAGGTGAGCCCTCACCGTATGCCCCGCCCTCCTGGAGAGCTGGGACCCCCAGCCACGGGGGGCCTCTGGTGCTCCCGTCGGGGCAGGGGACCCTGGAAGGAGGGAGGGACAGTGTCGTAGGAAAGTGCTGGTACCCAATGAAAGACACTGCCCTCACAGGAGGGGGCTGAACTGGTGACAGAATCTGGGCAGTCTAGGGAGACAAGGCAGTGCCCAGGAAAGTGAAGGCCTACTAGAAGAGGAGGTGTGTGTATGTGTGTGTGGGGGGGAAACAAGTGCCAACCTGGAGTCCATGCCAGGCTGGGGGCATGCACCCTCACCCCAGGAGAAAGCTCAAACTGCCTTGCTCCATCTTGGAGATCACTCCCAGGCAGGGGCATGGGTGGGGGGCTGGAAGGGAGTAGTTCAGGTGGGGTCACTGAGACACTGAAGCTGGAAGGGTTCTCAGTGTGTGTGTGTGTGTGTGTGTGTGTGTGTGTGTGTGTGTCTGTAATTTTGTGAACCCTGGTAGTTATGTTGTAAACAGCAGTCTGTGTGTGCACATGTGTGTGACTGAGAGCTTACAGATTGATATATGTTAAGATGCGCACATGTACATGCTTGTGAGTGTCTGTGTGTATACCTCTGTCTGAAGTGTGCATGCGTGTAAGTGTTCCTGGGTCTGTGTGGCCCCCTCAATGTGTGCAGAAGTATGTCTGTGTGAATGGGACTGTCTGAAACATGCGTTGGGAGTGGTCTCCTGGGGAACGCTACTTATGTGAGCATCTCTGCCTCAGGATGTACTTATGAAATACTGTGTGCAGAGGTATTTTGGATGTGTGTGCATTTACACGTTAACTTGTGTGGGTGTGCAGCTGGGCAGGTGGTGGTGGAGGAAATGATGATGAGAGGACCCAGAACAGGAGAATGCTTTAGGAACCTACCTATAGGCCTAACCTTTAGAAGAAGAGGTTGGAACAGAGGGACTATGGCCTTTGGGACAGAGTGTAAATTGCTAAGTGGGGCCCTCCTAGCTCCCCAAAACACTCACCCACACCCACACCCCACCGCCTGCAGGTCTGCACCCAACGACATTCTGGGCCTCCGCCTCCCCCCGGAGCCCGTGCTCAATGCCAACACAGTGTGCCTGACATTGCCGGGCCTGAGCAGGAGGCAGATGGAAGTGTGTGTGCGCCACCCTGACGTGGCTGCCTCCGCCATCCAGGGCATCCAGATCGCCATCCATGAGTGCCAGCACCAGTTCCGGGACCAGCGCTGGAACTGCTCCAGTCTGGAGACTCGCAACAAGATCCCCTACGAGAGTCCCATCTTCAGCAGAGGTAGCTGCCCCCCTCACCCTTGCCCTTCTGCGCACCCATCCAACACCTCCACCCCAAAAGCCAACCATCCCCAACCCACTCCCTCAAGCTGGCAACCCCCCCCACACACACAGGTGCCCATCTACCAGCCGTACTGCTCCTTTCTGGTCTTGGGCAGTCCACGAGGGCCAAACGGGGCAGAGGTGTCTCCAGCCTGCGCTGCGTGGGCTGAGGGTAGTAGGTTCCATGCCTGATAATTGACTCCTGGGTTATCCTGCCTGGTCATTGACACTATATATCTCAGGCCCAGGAAACATCCACATCTGTCACCTTCCTCAATATACCCTCTACATAGTAAACAGCATATAGGATGGAGAGCCTAGGATAAGGTGCCCAGAGCCAGCGTTAAGGACTTTTGCCAAACGGTGTTGGTGAGGGAAGCCCGGGCAGGTAAAATGTCTGTACTTCTGTAGAAGCTCTTCCCGGCAGGGTACACCACCAGCCTCTGTGTCATTCCCGCCGCCCCCGAGAACCTTCTCTGAATCAGAGGCACTGGGTGTGTGCATGCCTCCTGCCCAGCAGGCCTGACAGCTCTGCCAATCCCTCTTCCCTTCACAGCCCAGAGAAGCCACAGCCCACTCCCTGTCCTCCCTCTGGGTCTTCTGGGTGACCCAGGGCCCACCCTGACGACCCCTAGAGTAGCTTGGGCTGGAGATGGCAGGAGCTTTTGTCACTCCTTTCTGTTCACAACCACTTCGGGCCCTGAGATCTTAGGCCTTGACTCAGGTCTTTTGGGGAAGATGGGGGTTATCTATCTTTCCTCTCAGCTTCTTGAGTGGGACAGTGTGGGGACCTGGCTCCTTGGGACTTGTCCAATTCTCAGTTGACAGTGGAGGAAGAGGGGTACTCCTATACCCTGTGGCCTTGCGGCCTAGAGGCTTCTGGAAGAGTCAGATTCTAAGGTACCCTAATTTCAGAAAGAATTCGGCCAGCCGGGGACTCTCCCTTTTCACCAGGACCCCTCCTTGCATCCCCAGGGGCCCCCAAGTCAGGGGCCATCGCAGCCTCCCGCAGCCCAGCCCCACGCCGCCCGCCCCGCCCCCGCGCGCCCTCCCCCTTCCCTCCCCCGCGCGCCCGGGGCGCTGTTTCTACCCGGCCGAGCCCAGCCCGACGCGTGTGGCGGCATGCAGCCGCGAACTAATCCCCGCGGGCCGCGGCAGACGGCTCCTGGCCCGAGCCGCGCGGCTCTCCAAGGGGCGCCCCCCGCCATCCCGCCCCTGCCCCGCGCTCCCGCCCCGCCCGCCCCGCCGCGCGTGAGCCCCGCCGGCCGGCAGACGGCGGCTGCGGGGGACCCCGGCCGGGCTACCCGCCCCGCCCCGGCCGCCCGCGCTCGCCCACGCCACGGGACGGGCCTGTGCCTCTCTCCAGGCCTGTGCCTCTCCCCGCGCGCCCGCGCCCACTCCGGGTTTCTAGATGACCTGTGCGCTCCCCGACGCCCTGGGTTCCCTCCAGCGCTGGGGAGGGGGCGCGGTGAGGGCGCCGGAGCCCTTGCTTTGGGTTCTGCTAGCGGGGGGGGGGGGGGGGGGGTTGACAGGCGCTGAGGTTCTCACCCCTGCCGCTTCGGGTGAGGCAAGGCAAGGCAAGCTCTTCATCCCTCTTCCCGGCCACGGTGTCCCCTCTTCCCCTCTGGGCCTCCTGTCCCCTCTAGAGAGAGTGAACCCACGCGTCCTGATTACTTCGCCCGCGTGAGGCCCGTGTGGTCCGGTGGAGGACGTGGGGTCTTTGAAGCTCAGGGGTGAGTTCGGAGAGGTGGAAGCGCGCGGGGTTGGCGCAGCGCCAGGCGCTCCCGGGTTCACCTGTAGTTTAATAAGCGGGAGGTGAGCTGGGGGGACCCGGTGGGGGGGGGGAGGTTAGGGGTGGAGGGGGGAGACTTGCCGGGGCTAGCCAGGGCGGGGCGGTGCCCAGCGCGGGGGGGAAGGGGCGGGACAGCCGCTCCTGGGCTCTGGCAGGGGGGCTGGGCTCCTTCCTTTGGCCTTGGAACACTGTCCTACCTAGGTGGCTTCTGCTCCCGCATTGCGACACCCCATTTTCTACCTCTCCCTCCTCGGAGGGGCCTCTGGGCCTCTGGAAGAAATTGCCACTTTCTCCCTCCACCGGCCACCATTACAACCCTTCCCTCACTCCATATCTGGGTTCACCCTTCACCCACCTATGGGGTTATCTGCCTTGGCCCATCACCTCAAGGACTAGCTAAGTTTGAATTCTACGGGGCCACTCTTGGTGGCAGCTAGTCCCTGGACTAGGTCCATCCCCCCAGTCTCCCTTCTTTTCAAGTTGTGAATTGTCCCATGTGGGGTCAGGTGACCCGTTTCCCCCAAGTGGAATACAGGGTGCTGACCCCTCTTCCAACCCAGTGGGATTCTCTTAAAGGTGCGTTCTGCCATGTCGAAAATTTAAAGACTGCTGGGAGGAGGTGGTCCCTGGGGCCTTCCACCTTAATGCTGTTACTGCCATCTGATTGTCCTGGCATCTCCCCTGAAATGGTTTGGGTGAAGGGATGAGGTTCCAGTGTAGGAGGGAAGGGTGCTTGAACACCTGGAGTGGACAAACTTGGGAAGGCAGGGCATGTGATAGGGCTTTACCCAGTCCAGGAGACGACATGACAGGGTGCTAGAACCTAGGTGGGTAGGGGACAGGGAGAGAGGCCTCTCGGGGGTGGGGGGGTTAGAATTAAAAAAAAAAAAGTTGTGGGAAGGTCCCCAACCCAGGGGCTGCTCTGACCTAAGGGCCAGGGCAATGATATCCCCAGCTTTTTGTTCTGAACACCCAGACAATTAGTACCTGCTGGGCAGCCCATCTAGAAGGGAACCCCTCATTGTGAGAACTAGAGCACCCGTCCTTCTCTCACAGGGAGGGATGCGGATACAGGGGCAATGGAGTGGAAAGGGAGGAGGGGCCAGGGAGAGGCTGGTGGAGGCAAGTGTAGGAGATTCAAGCAGCAGGTCCTAGGAGCGCCCACACAGGTTATTACTGCCCTCTCCCAAGGCCAAGACCCATCTGGAATGGATGGAAAGAGAGGGGGCATGAGGCCCTGCAGCCCAGCCAGGCTCTCAGCCCAATGGAAGCCCACAGTTTGAGAGTCCAGCTTCTGTTCTCTTTTCTTTTCTGGCTCTTTTCTTCTCCCACCTCCCTTTAACGGTCACCCTTGAGGAGCACTGGTTCTATGCCTAGGCCTCCAGGCTTGGGGTGAGTGGTAGCACGCAGATAGGGAGACAGAGCCTCAGGCAATCATATCCCAGGATCTCCTAAAGTTCCATTATTCAAATAGCCCCCGATAAATTAGCTAATACATATTAAGTACTTGCTGTTTGCTTGGCACTGTTCTAAAGCACTTTATCTATACTTTAATATTCTCAAACAATCCCCATGCAATGGCTCCTATTAGTATCCTCATTTTACAAGTGAAGCAATGAGAGGTTGGGTAACTTGCCATTGGTCACGCAGCTTCTAAGGGAGCTATACAGCCAGGACTCAAATGCAGCCTAGCTGACTTTAGAGATCGCTCTCAACCCCCTGCCATACTGCCTCCCTAAGCTACCAAGCCACCAGGGTCTCCCACGGTGTGTCCAGAAGTGAGTGGTACAACGGAGGAGTAGTCCAAGAAATGAAACTGACATGTATACACACACACACAAACACCTACCTCTGTTTGTGCAAACGTGTAGCCACATTCAGTGTTCCCCCTAAGTGTTCCCACATGCACACAACTCTCTCTCTCTCTCTCTCTCTCTCTCTCTCAGCCCAGGCACAGGAGTGTGCACAGATTATTTGCATGGAGGGGATGGAGACCAGATCTCTCCGCTTGCCTCACTCTTTGACTCAGATAGGCGGGGCTCAAGCTTCTCTGACCCCTCCTGGTTCCCACTGGCTCCTGAATCCCCTCTCCTCCATGCTACCCTGCCCTCCAAATCTCCTCCCCCAGCCCCATCCTGGCCACTGGCCTGGAGCAGCAGCTGACTCCACTTAGATGCTGGCAGTCCCTGTCCCAGATCAAAGGCAGGACGGCTAATTGTGCGTCTTAACAAGCCCCCCCCCCCACCATGCTCCAGGCAGCCCAGCTGGCCACGGCCCCACCCCTCTCCCCCTCCAGCTGGTCAGATGGCACAGCGCCGTCTGCCCCAGACAGTCGGGGCCAGGACCGAAACTGGGGCCCTGAGTGGGAGCTGGGGGCAGACCCAGGAGGCTGGACTTCTCTGAATCCTGGATGCTAGGAGCAGAGGTTGGTCACACAAGCCCTGCCTGGCCACCCCTACACGTGGCTGTGACAGTGGCCAGAGGCCCTGGCATGGTGTCTTTAGCTGCCTGTGGTAGGTAGGGGTGTTCTCTGTAGATTGTGAACTACATTTTTCCAGACTCCTCTGGGCCTGCCTCTGAATGTAACAGAGCCTGGAAGATGGTGATTGGCCCAGCACATCCCCCTGGACCAGGCTCTTGCTCTTTCTTGGTGGCATGTGTAGATAGGGCCTTAGGAACTGGGACCTGAATGACCTGGGTTTTTTACTCAGGAACATGTCTTCCCTAGAGCCAAATGTCCTTTAGCAGGAAGTTACCAGGCCTGGGAACTGAGAGAGCTGGGTCTGGGTCTGCTGCATAACCCTGTGACCTTGGGCATCTCCCTTTTCCACTGTGTGTGTGTGTGTGTGTGTGTGTGTGTGTGTGTGTGTGTGTTGGGGGGGATGATTTCTGAGGCCTGGGCTGCTTCTGAAGGTCTGAGTATTGCCATTTGTCCTAGCAGTGGGCTGATGAGCCCCCTAGCAATAGGGGAAGTGCTGAGAGTTCCACAGCTAAAAGGCAGGGGATAAACACAGGGTATGTTCCCTAGGGACTTGGGTCTCCCCTCCTTTCCCTTGGGCCCCACTCCCATGTCAGCGTCTACTCCTCTGCAACTCCCACCAATTCCCAACAGCCCCTTAAAAGGCTCCCAGCCAATCCTCATCCCCTCCTGTCTGCTAATAGCTGGGCTCCTTACAGAAAAGGTCCTGAGATGCCACAAGCCGAGAGAGAAGATAGAGAGGGATGGCCTGCTTCTCGGGCTTCTGGTGGCCCATGTGATTTATCCTAAAGTGGGTCATGAGCTGCTGGGCTCTGTCCATGATTGGGGGAAACAAGAACCAATGGCCTGAAACTGCAACTCTAGTGAATGGAATGAGAGAACATGAAGAACTTCAAAAAATAGCTAATGTTTGTGCAGTACTTACCATGAGTAAGGCGCTCTTCTAAGTATTTGAAATTTACTAACTAATTCCATTTTTGGGACAACAGTGAAGCAGATAATAACAATCTTGTTTTACAGATGAGAAAACTGAGGCACAGAGGTCAAGTCACTTGGCCAAGGTCATGTCGTTATTAACAGTTAGTAAGTGGAAGAGCTAAGATTTGAACCCAGACAATTTGGCTCCAGAGTTCATGCTTTTAACTACTGCACACTTTCTCTTTTGTTTGGGGGGGGTGGCTAGGTAAGGACCGGAGGACAGGACCCTGTGATGCTGAGGGTGAGCATGGGGGGTGCAGGATTGGGGTCCAGTCCTGGTTGGCTCTCTGAGGTCTGTGGGAACTCCCAGAGCACATCCTCCCAGTCTTTGATGCTAGGATGGAAGGACCCAGAGTTTTTTCCTCTGAATCTCTGGTCTCCTGCAAGCCTTCAGTCTCTTGCCAGGGTCTGGGCTTCCCCCAACAGGTGCCTACGGCACAGGTGAGGTCTCCTCTTCATGTGCAGGCTATGATTGCTCCTGGCTTCTTCTCCCACTGCCCACACTCTCTTGGTTTCAGAGGCTGGTCAGAGACTTGTACCAGAAAATGCTGCTGGCTGGTCCCTTGTCAGATGCAGAATAAGCCAGAAGCCACTTGTGGGTCCAGGAGCCAGAGCTTCCTCTGCAAGCAGACCTCCCCCTGCCAGGAAGGCCCAGACCTACCAGGGCCTTCCCAAAGGATGGCTCAGGCTGGGAAACACTGAGGAGAAAAGTAGTGTAGACAAGTCCTGTGCCCCTGAGAGTGGTTCATCAGGGTCTTTGTGCCCCCCGAGCATCTCAAGGAAGGTGTCTGCCTTAGTTCACCTTTCCCTCTCAACTTTCAACACTACTGCAGGGCACTGGGCTGACTTCCAGCATTCCTCCAACAACCCCTTCAGCTGACCTAGACCCACTGCCATTAGAAAGTGTTCTGTAGTGGGCTGAAGGGGGTGGCACCAGGCAGGCAACCTTGGGGCCGGGAGCTTTAGGAGGACCGCATCTCCTCTTACTTACCCTTCTGCCCATTAGCATCTTCTGGGGCCTGGAAGTCCATCACGAATGATTTATTTTTTTAGGTTAAATTTTGCCTTCTTTCTGCAGGCTTATTTTTAAATTGCAAACATCTCATGAGAGGTAATAGCTTAAGTCCCTGATCTTCAAAAGAATGTTTACCAGATACTTTCTGTCCAACAGGAGAGAGGTAGACACGAATTCTGAGCTTGCTAAGGGTGATGTAACCCTCCCTCCCCCCTCCCCCCTGCACCCCGAACTTCTGGGGGTGATTTCTGCCCCTCTTTGAGTCTGTGTCCTTGTACCAGACCTTCCCCCAACACTGGGCCTCGGTTTCTCCCTCTTGTGGTAAGAAGGGTGGGCAGGGAGGGCAGATGGATGAGACGTTGACGCCCCCCAGAGCCTGTGTCCTGGATCTCCACCCTCAGGTTTTCGAGAGAGCGCTTTCGCCTACGCCATCGCCGCCGCCGGGGTTGTGCACGCGGTGTCCAATGCTTGCGCCCTGGGCAAACTGAGGGCGTGCGGTTGCGACGCCTCCCGGCGCGGGGACGAGGAAGCCTTCCGCAGGAAGCTGCACCGCCTGCAGCTGGACGCGCTGCAGCGCGGTAAGGGCCTGAGCCACGGGGTCCCGGAACACCCAGCCCTGCCCCCTGCCAGCCCGGGCCTGCAGGACTCCTGGGAGTGGGGCGGCTGTAGCCCCGACGTGGGCTTCGGGGAGCGCTTCTCTAAGGACTTTCTGGACTCCCGGGAGCCTCACAGAGACATCCACGCGCGCATGAGGCTCCACAACAACCGAGTTGGGCGGCAGGTGAGAGCCCCACCCGCCTGGGCCTGCTCCAAATCCCTCTGCCTAGGGCTCCTCCCCTCCCCCACCAGGCCTACCTCTCCTCTGGGGACCACACCACTAGCCCTAGCTCAGCAACTTTCTCATTGCCCCTGCCTAATCCAGTCATCAAACATGCATTGGATACCTACTGTGTGCCAGGCACTGGACTAGGCTGGGAATGCAGGGATGAAACCCCGGGGGCCCTGCCCTGGATCAACTCCCCCTCTGCTGAGCAGCCTGCTCCTCTCATTATTTTGTGGTGAGCAGTGGAGGGGGCACTGGGCTGCAGTCAGGGCCTCCTGGGCCTTGGCCCTGCTCTGCCACTCTGTCGCCTCCCCTATAAAGCAAGAAAGTTGAACTGGATCACCCAATCCCCGAGTCCCCCTGCCCCAGCCCAGCTCTAATGTTCCATTATTCTGTGCTGTTCTATGCTGTGATCCTCTACCTCCTCTCCCAGGCTTTTTGTGCAGAATGAGGGGTTCCTGCAAGGGGAGGTTCCTGGGGGGGGGCCCCGTGGCCCCGTGTGGTGGTTGCATGGTTGCCTTTCTCCTTTTTCTCCCTACCTTTGAATGTTCATACTACCTCAAAGGTCATTCATAAAAAAAAAAGAAGAAGAAGAAAAAGAAAGGAAGGAAGGAAGGAAAGGAATAATCAATAATCGCCTGCATTTATGGAGTCCTTCCTATGTGTTAGGCACTGCCCGGAGCACCTTAGTGCAGAGTGGCCTATTTAATCCCTACAACTAGCCATGAGGGTCCTAGTATTAGCCTTATGTTCAGATATGGAAACTGAGGTACAGGGAGATGGAGAAGCTTGCCCAAGGTGGTGCAACCGGTGAGGAAGTGGTACAGTCTTCCTCAGGGTTCGTCACCAGGCAGCTGAGCACTGAGCCTGGGCTCTTTCGCTCTGTGGCCTTGTCTGCACTATGTGACCGCCACCACTAAGAGGCCTCCTTAGCCCTCGTGGTAGCTCCGCACCCTCCTTTCCTGGCTGTTCAGCCCCCATCCCTTCTCTCGGCTCTGCCTGGCCTGCCTTCGGGCCTTGTTTCTGCCTTCCCCTCGCTCTGGCTGGCACCTGCTCTTCCTCATTCCCCTTGCTCCTGGCCTCTCAACCCAGGCGGTTCACCTTCTCTTTCCAGAGGGACTCGGAGCTGATTCAGCTCTTCCCATCCTGACTTAGAGGTGAAGTAAACTGAGGCATATCCACCCTCAGGTCACATCCAGCTTCCACCCAGCCCTGCCCTGTTCATGCAGCTCTTTTCCCAAGCTTCCATACTATCCCAGCCCATACCAAACAGTGCCTCCTCCTCCTTGTTAAACTGGTTAATTAATGGCTGCTGCCTGTGGGAAGAAAATGTTCTGGAGCTGTTGGCCAGGGGAGGCCTTGGGCTGGTTCCTCTGTGGTGCCAACACCACAGGCTGCACCTACAAGCTGAGGAGCCCTTTAAGACTCAGAGGGCAGGGTCTCTCTCCTGTGGCCCTAACCGCCCAGGCTAGAGGGCCCCAGAGCACTGCTCTCCCAGTCTGCGGTGTGTTCTGGAATGGAGTTGGGGAAAGGAAGATGTGGCCAACTGCTTCTGGTTTCTCTAGTGAGGATAATGTCAAGGGATTCTTTGGGAGGAGATTCTAGAGCAGGGTGAGAGCTGGACAGGGGGTGGGTAGGTTGTGTTCCTGTAACTACCTCCCTTGCAGGTTTGGGGACTTCTCACTTTCACTGCGCAGGGGGTCTGGTTCTCTGGGACTGTTCCCATTCCGTATTCAGGTAGAGCCTTTGGCCCCTGTTGGTGCTCACTATTCCCTAGGAGGAACCGTGGCATTCAGCATTGGGCAGAATAAGCCCCAGCCAGTATAATGGGGGAAAGAGGAGTCTCCCCAGTTTCTGTCCGGTCCTTAGGCTCCCTGCAGAGGGCTGCAGGGCCCAGAGGAGGAAAGGGGCTTTCTCAGACTCCCCGCAGCCCCCACTCACGCCTGGATTGAGGCCAGAGGCTTTGGGGAGGGGATATAGTGGGGCCAGCACCCCCTGCTCCTGGCCCCCACCTGAGGGATGGAAAGAGAGGGAATTTCCCTGAGGATCTGGGATCCCCCCTCAGGAAGCAAGAGCCTCCAGCCCCAAGGGCCCCCTGCAGCTGCTGGGGAAGGAGAGGAGGGGAGGAAAGGAGGGAATTCCCCCAGGACCTGGCCTGGTGGGAGGTGGATGGGAGAGCAGCAGAAGAGCGGGCGGAGTTCTTCTCCGGACTGCCGGGCTCAGGAGCTGTGCGCCCCCAACCCTACTCTCGGCCCCCACCCCCGTGCTCTTGCCCCCCCTCCCCGTGCCCCCCCGCTTCGAGCCTCGGCTTTTGCCTCTGTTCCATGGGAGTCGGTTTCAGAAGTCTCTGAGATTCTCGAAGGCCAGTGTCTGCGCTGGGAGGAGGGCCGTGGGGCTGGCCGCGGGCGTCACCCCTCGCCGTGCCTCCCTCTGCAGGCGGTGATGGAGAACATGCGGCGGAAGTGCAAGTGCCACGGCACGTCAGGCAGCTGCCAGCTCAAGACGTGCTGGCAGGTGACGCCGGAGTTCCGCGCCGTGGGGGCGCTGCTGCGCAGCCGCTTCCACCGCGCCACGCTCATCCGGCCGCACAACCGCAACGGCGGCCAGCTGGAGCCCGGCCCCGCGGGGGCCCCCTCGCCCGCCCCGGGCGTGCCGGGGCCGCGGCGCCGCGCCAGCCCCGCTGACCTGGTCTACTTCGAGAAGTCGCCCGACTTCTGCGAGCGCGAGCCGCGCCTGGACTCGGCGGGCACCGTGGGCCGCCTGTGCAACAAGAGCAGCGCGGGCCCCGATGGCTGCGGCAGCATGTGCTGCGGCCGCGGCCACAACATCCTGCGGCAGACGCGCAGCGAGCGCTGCCACTGCCGCTTCCACTGGTGCTGCTTCGTCGTCTGCGAGGAGTGCCGCATCACCGAGTGGGTCAGCGTCTGCAAGTGAGCCGAAGGCGCCCCTCCCGGAGCCTGTCCCCCCGGCCGCGTCGCCTAGGCTCCTGGGACAGGAGCTCAGACCATCTGATCCGATAGGAACCTCCCGGCTCCGAGGGTCAGATCTGCAATCAGGGGACGGGCCAGTCCTGCCTGGACTACCCCCCCCCCACTTCGGTGGGCTCCAAGGACCCATTCGCCTCCCCGCTCCTTGTCCCCGCCTCGGACAGCTCAGCTGGGCTGGGGAGTGCCCCACACCTGAGGGCGAGGGTGGGCAAGTGTCAGCCAGGCAGCCTCTGGGCCTCTCCCCTGTCCTGCCTTCACCTCTGCCCCCGGAGAGAGAATGAATGGAAGCCGAAGGGCAGTGGGGAGGATGATTAGAAAAGAAGAAATGGACGTAATTGAGCTGAAGGGATTCTGCAGAGGCCTCAGCTGTCCTCCCCCAACGGTCCCTGCCCCTCATCATTCATTTAACAAATATTTATTTTGCACTCTTTGTGGCCTGGCACTCTGCAGGGGATGAGGGGTGCTGGGGATACAGATGTGAATAAGAGAGACACAGCACCTGCCCTCTTGGAGTTTACATTCTGGTTGGGGGAGATGGACAATAAACAAGTAAATACACCAACAAGCTCATCTCAGACAATGCTCTGTGCCATGAAGAAAATAAAGCTCGGTGCTGGATGTAGAGTGATTTGTGGGGAGTGGGGCCCCTTTATGTTTTGTTTGCATTAAAAAAAAACCCTTTTGAGTACAGTTGACACACAATGTACATTAGTTGCAGGTGTACAACACAGTGATGGGACAAGTCTATACGTTATGCTCTGCTCACAAGTGTAGCTACCATTTGTCACCATAGGATGCTATTACACCACCAGGGATTCTATTCCCTATGCTGTGCCTTGTATTCCTGTGACTAATTCATTCCGTAACTGGAAGCCTGTATCTCCCACTCCCCTTCACCCATTTGTCTATCCCCGTACCCCCTTCAGGCAACCATCAGCTTGTTCTCTGTATTTATAGTTCCAATTCTGCTTTTTGTTTGTTTATTCATTTGTTTCATTTTTTTAGATTCCACATATGAGCAAACTCCTCTGGTATTTGTCTTTCCCAGCCTGACTTATTTCACTTCATGTAATCCCCTCAAGGTCCATCCATGTGGTTGCGAATGGCAAGATCTCATCTTTTGTTACGGCTGCATAATATTCCATAGTGTGCATGTATATGTGTATGTGCATATACACACACACAGCCCACAGCTTTTTTTATCCATTCATTTATTGATAGACCTGTAGGTAGGAGTGTGGCCCCTTTAGATAAAGCCATTGGTCTGGGAAGGCCTCTCTGAGTTGTGTTCCTCATGCTGAGACGGGTACAATGGGGACAGCTGTGCACAGATTGAGGGTAAGGGCTTTCCAGGCAGAGACCATGCAAATGCAAAAGCTCAGTGGTGAGAAAGATGTCCTCAGGAGGAGCAGCAAAGAGGCCAGTGTGATTGGAGTGTAGGAATCAAAGAGCAGATTAGCAGGAGAGGAGCTCAGAGGGCAGGCAAGAGTCATACCACATGTCCCTCGGGGCCAATGTAAGGAGTTGGGGTTTTTAAGACGAATGAGAAACTTCAGAGAGTCTTAAGCAGGTGAGTGTCATGGTCTGATTTCCACATGGATTGCTGTACAGGGAACTGAATGAAGAGGAGACAAATTGACAGCAGGGGGCCAGTTAAGAAATTACAGCCAACTTCCAAACCAGAGATGGGGGGTCTGACTGGACGGAGGCCTTGGGGATGTTGACAAGAAGCTGGATCAGGAGCTCTTGATACCAGAGCTCTCGCTGTCCACCTCGTGCCTGAGCCTTCGGCCACAAGCCAGGACGGGTGGCGGTGCCCAGCAGCACCCTTCAGCAGAGACAGGCACTCTGAGAGGAGTAATCCTGGGCAAGACCCAGCTCAACCCAGCCAGCCCAGCGCCCCGGGGAGCAGGTGGGGCTAGGAGGTGCGGCCAAGAGGAGGGTGGTGGGGGAGGGCCAGGAGACTCACTGTCTGGATTCTGGTCTCTCTGAGTCCATGCAGGGGAGGTAGGTATGTAGGTAAGGCCAGAGGTGGAGCGACATCTTTCCTACGCCTCTCCTGTCTCCAGATCCTCAGCTCAGGGTGCCCTTTGGCAGGTCAGCAAGCCTCCTTCTTCCTACCCCCCTAAGAACACTGCTGGCTTGCAGTCTGGGTCCAGTGTTGCACTCCCCTTGGCTTTCAGATTGGATATTTTTCTGGAATAGACCCTCACGGAGGGTGGTGGAGATGGAGGTAGGGTCAGGATCTCAGAGAAAGAACACCTCACCTACTTCCTCCAGACCTCCTGCTGCTCACAGTTGAGGATCCTGCTGCCTACCTCAGTTTACCCAGAATGGCATCCTTCTCGATGAACCAGATGTGGATGGAGTCTTGTTCCTTTTCCCAGTTGCCAGCCTACACAAATCCCCATATTTCCCTAGCCCTCTGGGTAGGGGTGAGAAGGAAAGGAGGCTCTCATGATGATGTACCCCTGTAGGCCCACCAGTTGGGAGATTTGCCCCCACTAGCTTGCCTTCAGCTTCCTTCCCTCCAGCTGCCTGCCTCCCAGCAGCTCCTGGACATGCCCAAGACAGCAGGGCCTTCCACATGCTCAGCTCGGCTGCTTCTGTGGAGGACAGGGTTTCTCTCCCCAACCCCCAAAAGACAGCCCCACAGGCAGGCGGGTGAGAGTCCCCCGGGGAGGAGGGGTAAGCAGGAACAGTCAGACACACCTGCCTCATTCCTTTCCTCTTGTTCACCCAGGAGAGGGCTGTGGGGGCTGGGTTCCCCGCCCCCTTGCTCCCTCCCGACCCAGGGAGGAGGAGAGGAGAGGTGTGTGTATGGGGGGGGGAGATAAATGAAGGCCTTGGGGGGGGCACTCCCACCCCAGGAGTGTCCACTACAGCATTAGCTTTGGTGTCACCCTCCTGTGTCTTCCAGGCTGAAGGAGGACAGAGCTGGGGGAGGAGAGGCTGAAGAGGAGAGATATAGGATCAGGGTTGGGATAACGAGGTAGGAGCAGGAATACCGCAGAGCATGCTGCCTTCAGAGGGAGGGGTGGGTGGTGGGGTGGGGCAGGGGCTGGACACCACGTTGTCGGGGAGGGACATGTTCCAGTCAAATCCTGGTGAGCTGATATATGCTGGCCTGACCTATAAAGGAAGAGAGGGAAAGTTGGGAAAGGAACAAACAAGGTGTTGCCCGATCCACATCCTTTCTCTGGGCCGGAAGCTGACTAGAGTCTGAGGATCAAACCTGGACCCCACAATTGAAAAGGGGAAAATGTGGGATTTGGCAAGGGCCCTAAAGGGACATGTGGAGGTGACGAAGGGCAGGAAAATAAGGCCAAGGGGCACCGGGCTTAGGCATACTGGCTGAAGGGTGTGGCAGGAATCAATGTGCTGATTGGAAATAGGGGGTGGTGGTGGTAGATGGGAGGAAGAACTTGCCAAGTTGCTTGGGGAGGGCCAGGGTTGCAATTTGGGAATAAGAACATGGAGAGACATAGATCAGAGGGGGAGGGAAGGGTCCTAGTCCTCAACACCTTTCACCTTGATGGACCCTGGGTCACTTCCTTGCAGAAGGAAAAAATAGTATGGTCTCATAAAGCCTGGATGGCCCCGACGGGAGGGAGGGAGAGCACTAACGGAGAATGAGGGTGGTGGACACATCAGCAGGCAGCGGTAGGGCTAAGGGTCAGGGAGAGGCGGCCAGACTGGGGTGGGGATCGGAACCCAGGCATCCTGCTTGTCAGTCACCCAAGGTCGCAAGGCTGAAAAAAGAGGAGAGAGGCAAAGGTAAGGGCCCTGGCAGCTGGAGGAGGACCTCGGTGAGTGAGAAGCCAGGTCAGCGGCATCCAGGCGCTCCTCTTCCCAAATTAACGTGCCCCCGGCTAGCCCCCGGCAGGGGGCCTTCCACGTTGGAGTTTGTCCAGGCCCTAGTCGCGGGCCCCCTCCTCCCCTCCTACCCCCCTTCTCATGTGGTTGCCGGCAGCTGCCTGCGGTCGCCCCAACCCCTGCGCTCAAGGCACGGGGACTTTCCAACAGGGGAAAAAATGACTTAATGAGAGTGGGAGCCGGGGGCGGGAGGGACAGGTCCCTGTAATCACCGCTCCACTGTGGGGCCTGTGCGCCTCCGGGGCCCTTCCCGGCTTCCTGCTGCCAGCGCCCCCCTCAGGCTCTGCTGGGGGAGGAGGGCGGGCTGGGGACAGGGGGATCCCTTTTCAGGTTTCAGACTCTCTGGGTCCTCCGGCCGCCTTTGTCCCCTAGGCTTGCGGTGCGTGGAAGCTGGAACACCCCATGATCCCTCTCTGGCCTTTGTCCTTGAAGTTGCGCGGGGGGTGGAGGAGGGTGGGCTGCAGTCTGTCCTAGGAGCCGGGGTCCTCTGCTGGTGGATTAGAGGGGTGAAGGATCAAGAGGAGTGCCCGGTGCCACTTTGCGGCTGCGCACTTCGCAACGCCCCGGGTTACTGTGGCAACCAGGGCAGTCGAGGTGCGTCCACCCGGCCGGGAGGCGCCCACTCCCCCTTTTCTCGCCGCCCTGCGGTCCAGGCCCGGCCGCTGCGGTGCGCGGGGGTGGGGGTGTGCCGTTACCATGGCAAGGGTGCGCTAGGAGGGCACATTCTTCCCCAGGGTGGGAGCGCCCTGGGGATACGAGAAGGGGAGTGACGGGGGCGGCAGAAAGGGGAGCGGGGGGTGGTGGTGGAGGGAGGGTCAGAACGAGGGAGGAGTCTCGGACAAGATGAACCGGGGCTCCGTGGAGTTGGGGTGGGGAGTTTGGAATCTGCCCCCCTCCTCCTAGCTCTCCGGAGACGTCCCACGCCTCCCCCTGCACCCTCGCTAGGATTCAAGCCCCTCAATCCCGTTTCCGGGGTAGGAATCCCCGACTACCGACTCGGAGGTCTTTTAGCTTCCTCTGAGGCCAGGCTCTCCGAGCTTAGTGTCTGTCCCTTTCTCCCCAAGCGGAGCT